CCCCCCCCCCCCTCCCCCCCTCTAAAATCAATTCTCTCCTGGAGATCGTCTTCGTGAGCCTCTCATGATTTCAGGATAGTTGAAACCCTCTTGAACATTCAGAAAGAGTGAATATGAAATTCTAATCACGAAAGGTGTTCTGTGAAGCACGTCAATTCTCTCCTGGGGAGCGTCTTCGTGAGCCTCTTATGGTTTCAGGATAGTTCAAATCCTATGATGTTCCGATTCAATGCCCACCGATGATCTGAGCCATGGGGCAAGTTTGTTTTCCTAAGAATCTTTTTGAACATTTCGAGAGCACATGTTTGAACATTTAAAGTGCATATGAACATATATGTACGAAAGGTCGCCTCCGAGGGGATAAATCACCATGTCGAACATTGCATTTTTGTTCCTGCCTCTCGCGTTCTCTTCTCTTCCCGCTGTCCTACCTTTCGTGTCTCCCTCCTCTCAAGTTCTGTCACATGTGACATGTTGTTCATTCCAACGCCATGCCTTGCAGAGAACCCAGCTTCAGCTGATTTGTTTTTTTGCATTTTATCTCTAGGCGTCTGGAAGATGAGTATGTGCGCGAGGGCGACTGTGGACGCGGGTGCTTTGGCGAGTGCTTCTGGGTGAAGCACAAGACCACTGGATTCCGGCGAGAAGCTTTGCTGGAAAGGTGCTGGGGAAAGGATCGTTTCTAGTTTAGAGTCTCTATATAGTCAATTATCAATGTAATTATAGGACGTTATAAGGGGTGGACACTGGTGGCCTTGGACAAGGATTTGTGTAGTGGAGGGAGAAGTATTGGCCGTTCCAACCATGCTTACCTCACCAGACCGTTTCAGGAGCAAATGGCCAGAGAGAGCCCGCGTGGGTTGACACTGCATCAAGTGTTCGAGTGGTTTGGGCAATCGAGCTGCAGGGAAACACGGAAACACAAGGTTCCACCGATTCTTGATGCTGGGAACCTTAGGTGGCCAAGAGGATCGCCAAGAAGAGGAGTGAGGCCGGCGGTGGCTAGATTCATTCAAGAGGAGCTTTGCGATGTTTCATGCTTCAACTCCCAAACCAAAGGATCTAAGACCCACCAAAACCCTATCGCCTGGCGTCCGCCTGGCATTCACGAGGTCCCAAAGGAGGAGGTGGAAGACGAGATGGACATCCTTCGGAAGTTGGATCATCCTCATATCGTTCGGCTCTTTGAATGGTTTGAGACCCTTGGCTGATCCAATTAGACGGTCGGCGCATGGGCACACTTCGGGAGAAGTTTAGCTTTTTTGGTAAGTGGGTTTTGCAACATTTATGTGTCAGCGGCATTGGATGAACTTGCGTGCCACAAATGATGTTTTTCTTATTTTTTAGGTCCGAGGATGACTTCCTGCTGGCGGCTCGGCTTAGTCTCCCCTTTTGTGTGGCAGTGGCAAGGCCATGCAAGTGGATGAAGAACCTGGAAGTAGGTGATTGAAGGACCTTCTTTTGGCAGAAGTTAAGACACATCTTCGTGGTGCGGTCATTTTCACGTGTGATTCAATTTCAAGGAACAGTGTGTTCTGTGACAAATTTTCAGGGGCTTGCAACCAATCATACATTTGGATGGGTTCTGGGTACATTTGGGAACTATGTTTTTTGCTGGCAAAGATGGCAGACAAGAAGGTGCAGATAGGTGCAGGGATTCCTTAGGGACCCCAACTAAGTAAGCAATAGCATGTGGGAATTGCATCACCATCTAAGGGTGCCAGTTAGAGAGTCAGGCTTCAGTGTCAACATCACGACTCTGTTGACCTTGATTTGTGCGTCTTTCATCGATCAATTTGTTTTGATTTTCTCCCGCGAGACCTGGAAGAAACCTGGGATCCCAAGACACGGCCGCGTTGAAAACTAAAGTCCAACGATAGTTTTGTAAGCCAAGCGGGGGCACGGATCAACACAGATCAAGGAGGCTGATTTTGACCACTGAGACTTTTGAGTGCTTTGCTAAGGTCATGGAAGGTGCGAAAGCGGGCGATTTGGGACGAGCTTTGCAGCGGGCAAAGCAGGAGCCGGTGAAACTGTGTGGTTTCGGCTTGTCTCTACGGACTCCAGTTGCTGTGGTGCAAGCCTCTCGCACGGGCTTGAGATGAAAGCCTGTAGCTTGTCATTCAATCCTCACTGACTGGCGCTTGCAGATTCAGCTTAGCTCTTGATGCAGGAAGGGCACAAAGGCCTACAGGAGAACGTGGTGCGCCTGCTGATTCAACAAGCTCTGGATGCTTTGGTGTCTTCTCAGAATAATCGTAGATCATTCTGGGACGAACCAAGATCATAATTAAAGGTGAGCTTTTGTGTGTGGACCCATTGCCTTGCTTAGGCCAGTGCCAAACCAGAATGGTTGCAACAAGTCCTCTCCGCCGACAGAGTAAGATCCAAATATTGTTTTGTCCACTTGGATGATCTTGGATGTTCAAGCGGGCTGCTGGATGGACCAATAGACTGACCCATAGATGTTAGCCACATTGAATGATGTCGTTCACCAAGATCTACGGAGCATTGAGGATGTCCAAGCGAAAGGTCCGAACATGCATGTGATATAATACATCCCATTTTTTTCCAGGAGATTCTCACCAGGCGCTTTTGGCAGACCATCAGTCCCAAGGTCTACATCCACTCGGAGCGCGTGATCCATCGAGATGTCAAGCCAGCCAACATGGTCTTGACCAAGTTGGAGCCTTTGCCTGAGGCATGTATATGTAAAGCTGTGCATCTGACTGCCTCTTCCAAGCCCCTGCCATGTAGTTGGGTGATCCGTGGCATCCGGGGCCCACCAGCTCCACAGAACGCCTCCAAATTATGAACAGACCCGGCCAATGGCCGGGAGCCTTCTAGTAGCGTCCTTGCTCCTATAGGAGCACGAGCCTTCTAGTGTGATTCAGGATCAGTTCCCACCTCACCTGCTTCTGGCTGACTTTGGGATCGCCTGTGCAGCCTGGCGGGATGCACTGGGGCTGGGAGGGTCTTTTTTTTCGCACCTCCGTGCGCCACACGGTTGGGTGATCCGAAACATGACTTGAGGTCTTCAAGCCTGATTCGTCGAGTTCCTCCATGCCGCTTGGCACTTCTTTTCCTCGTTTTCACGAAAGCTAGCACCAGCTAGCTGGAGTTGTTCTTGCTGTAGCAGGTGAGGGGCTGGAATCCTCGAGAGCGCCGCATCACGTGAAAACTTCATATGAGCGTCGTTCAAAAACCCACCTTTTCCTTGTTAGTAATCGAATTTCAAAGGCTGATTTCGAGTGCGCTCTCACTGCAGTCGCGAAAGGTTCGCGAAGGTCCTGCGAAAGGATGAAAGGTCTGCGCAAGTCATGTTGGTGACCTGGCCCCGCTGCAAAAACAATTGCTCTTCAGACTTCCGATTGCTTTTTCCCGGGTTGGGAAAAAGCAAATTGGAAGTCTGAACCATTTTGCTTTTTTCCCAGCCCGGGAAAAAGCAAATTGGAAGTCGTGATTGGAAGTCTGAGTCAAATTTGGAAAAAGCAATTTGGGCCCCAAAAAATAAGCAACAAGCAATTTGCACCAGATTTACAAACTGTGAAGATTCCTCCTGAATCTTAGGTTCAGTTGAGATGTGAAAGGGTGGAGGCATGATGACATGTTATGTCTCGGCCCGAGTCATGGGAGGGCACGTGATTTCGAGCTGGCGGCGCGCCATGTGAAAAGGTGCTGGTCGTTGCTGGCGCCTTCTACGTTTCGTGTTCGGTGAAGACTTCGTGTGCTTTGCTGTTGAGAGTGGTTCTACCAACTCTTGTTGTTGGTAGCGGAGCCCTGCGGGGCTGCCGCGTTGCTTGGTTGTGCGTTGATTGCTGGCGTGTGTTGACAGTGGTTGATTGTTGACATTGAGTTGGCATGGCTCCCAAACAACAGCAGTCGAATGGTCCAGGGCACTCTACCAGTTCGCAAGCTGCAGCAGGACAAACAAGTGTCCATAGTGGAGTTAGCACAGCAAAACTCGACAACTATGTACTTGTTTTTAGCAACAGCATGCAGGATTACCGTGAGTTTCGCAAGCGTTGTGAGACCTACAAGAAGAAGATGAAGTTGGGCAACAGGACAAATGAAGTTGTCTAAAACCTGGTCACTTTGATGACTGGGAAAGCCTGGGATTTGGTCGAGGACATGACCATGGAGCAGATGTCAGGAGATGATGCTTACGAGCTGCTGTTCCAGAGATTGGACAGGGGATTCCGTTTTGATCCCCTGACTGAGCTGCCAGATGACTTCGAGCAGTACTTCGTGAAGCTGCAAAGGAAACCACAGCAGACCTTACAAGATTACATGAATGATTACACCCGCTGTGAGAGGAGGTTGAAGGTGACACACCACGTTGATATGCCGGAGAAAGTGAGGGCTTGGTGGTTTCTTCGTCGTTCAGGGATCACCAAAGAACAACGACAGCTCATCTTCACGAACACTGGCACCACCGGCTTGACAATTGAAGAGGTGATGAAGTCGATGAGTTTCATTCTTGGACAGGACTCGACTCTTCAATCTTCATCCTCAACCAGGTGGACACGACCCATGGGCAAACCAGTTGACACATTTTACTGTGATGAGAACGCACAGTATGATTGGACAGCTGGATCGGAAGAGTTCACAATTGATCCCTCTCCAACATACTATGGTGAAGATGATGAACGGGACGATTGGCAAGATGGGTCGGTTGAGCAATTTGATGAAGTGGCATTGGCAGAGCATTGTGAGCAGGTGTATGATGTTGATGAATATGACGATGTGCTTGCAAATTATCAGGATGCCAAGGCCCAGATGAACGCCCTTCGAACCTCTCGTGGCTTCTATCCTGTTGTGGCCATGCTGCCGAATGCAACAGGAAGTCCATCGGGTGGAAAGAGTCGCAACAAAGGTGGATCGAAGTCGAAGCCCAAAGGCAAAGGAAAGTCCGGTTCAAAAGGAGGCAAGTCCGGAAACCCCAAAGGACGTGCAGCCGCAGCAATGGGTTCTGGACGTCAACTATGTTTGAGATGCGGCAATGCCGGACATTGGGCAAAGAACTGCCCCATGCCACCAGGATCAGACAAAAAGAAGAAGCTCGGTGACGAGTTGGAAGGTGGCGTTAACATGGTTGAATCAGTTGACGTCCCAGACAAAGCAACACTGTCAGCAGAAGCATTTCACATTGACATGGAGGATGATGATATTGGTGGTGATGACGCAGCAGTGCAAGACGGGGGTGCAGCATCCGTGTTGGGTTCAGCATGTCAGATTCGCAAGTACCTTCCCTTCCTGCTTGAACAAGGTTACCATCCATGACATCCCCATGTTTTGTTGTGAAAAGGGCTTCAAGTATGGCAATAGCATGAAAGAGACAACAAACAAGTGCATTGTCTTGCCCGTATTCCTCAGCAACAGTCGCATTGATGTGTTGACATACATCATTCAAGGTACAGCACCCATCCTGGTCGGACGACCTATGTTGGAAAGATTGGGACTCACTGTGGACTATCGTGCCAAACAGATGAAGTGGCCAGATTCAGAGTGGGAAGAACTCCCAGTTGGATCGAGAGGTGAGCACCTTTTGCACCTTGGCAAAGATATTCGTCAATGCATTGAGCAGGAACCCAAGATGGTTTTGTCGCCGGAGGATGTTGAATCACACGTTGGCGAGCCCATTGAGCATGGAGTGCATCAGTTGCTGGAAGAGGTCATGGTGTCAGAAGACGTCAATCTGGCGTCAGAAGCTTCGCAGACAGCATCGCCGGCTCACACACGTCGTGTGTGCAAGTGCAGAGCACAAAGCAGCAGCAGCAGCAGCAGCGGCAGATGCTAGTGCAACGCCTCCAACCAATCAGAATGTATCAGTGGCTGAGGCAGGTTCACTCGCATCCTGCAAAGCATCTGTATGTATATATAATGTGTAAAGACTCTCTTTTTTGGTGCCATCTTTAAACACGCTACATTCCAAGTGTGAAGGGAATGAAGTTTCATTCTTGCACAGTTAGTGCAGTTTCACTCAGTGTTTTGCTGTCCCTTTCGACTGTTCCTCAGGTGGGCAATGCTGGGCTGTTGCTAGAGGTGGACGCTCAGGACGCCAGCGCGGATAACTTTGGCAAGATCTTGAGCTAGCCCGCGCTTTTATATATATATATATATAGATGCTTACGCACACTTTGTCCAGGAGTCACAGCATCACTCGGTTCTATTTTCCTTTGGCCAGCATTTGAGCTATACCGTTTTTGGGTGCTGGAGCACGTTTTTTCCAGGAGAGCGCAACAAAGGAAGATGTTTCCACGGCTGAGGCATCTTACTTAGCGTTTGCTTCGAAGGGTAGGTTGTAACTAGAGTTTTTTGGCAGTTTGA